ATTTGGAATGCATTCACTAAATAAGATTTGTTTCATAAGTTGTTATTTTATGTGATGCAATGTGATTCAAAACGTTAAACAAAGATCATGACCACAAGGGTCAGATTTCATGTGATCATGTGAGACCATGTGTCATTTGACTCAAACAACCCTAATGGGCCATGTTACTGGTCAAAAAATCAAAGTTAAAGCAAAAGAAAGACAAATCAAATTTGAATTCAAATTTAAATTATAAAAGTCCGTTTTGCCCCTTTTGGATATTTCAAAATCCATTTGGAATTTGGGGTTGTGACAAAAAGCAAAGTTGGAGCTTATTTTATAAGGATTAACTTTGGTAGTCAAAGTTTTTCAAGTTTACATATAAAATTTGGAGTAATTTTAAAATGATTCAAATGCTCTAATGCACCCCAAATTCAAATTTCAAAATAGAGGCAGAGTTTGAAAATGTTTCTAGAAGCAAAGTTGTAGAGTTTGAAAAATTGAACAACTTTCATTTTTGGATATTTTCAACTTCTTTAGAAAATTTGTGAGTAATTTGAAAAAAATGGACACAGTGGCAGTTCTGTAAATTTTTCAAAAATCCACCTCCACCTCCTGCTTGCCGCCGCCGATCAGTCCTCGCCGCTTTCCCGCGCGCAGGCATGTCACCGTCACCGTGGCGCCTCCGTCGTGTGCTGTCGCAGCCGGGCGAGCTCATCCCGGCTATAAATAGCCTCATTGCCACCGTCGTTCCTCCCATTTCCCCTTCTGCTCTGCTCCGCCGCCAGCTTGCTCCGCCGCTCGTCGTAGCCTCCGTCGAGCAGCATCCGTCGTGCCCAGCTACGCCTATGTGATCGCCTCAGCCTTGCACCTCTCTGCGGCTTGCCTACGCCACTTGGATTGGCCGGAGTCGCCCGGCGCAACTGCTTCTTCCCCGAGCCCGGCCGGAGCTCCGCCACCGTCAAGCTTGCCGTAGCCAGGATGTTCCAGAGTGTCTCCGACTCCACCGAGCACATCAATGTGTTCGTGGTGAGTCCCTGATCGTGTTTCACCCTTCGCTTTAGACTCTACTGTGTTGTTGCCGGTGATACGCCGTGTGCCACCGCGTTTATCGCCGCCGTGGCCGCCATGGCCGTCGTAGAGTCATCTCCGGTGTGCCTGCTGCTTGTCCAAGGGTCGGGATAGGTCCGCCGTGAGATGGTGGTCATGTTGGTACCAGTCCCCTCGCCGGAGCCTCACCGACGGCGTGTTTTGCCGGTCGGAGTCGGCAGCGCCACCGCGCCCTGTCTCTGTGCCGCTGACACGCGGGGTCGACCTGTCAGAGAGAGAGAACAGTGAGCTTTTTCTAATTTCTGAATTTTGAATAGTGCAGTAATTTTGCAATTTTGTAGGAATTTATTTACAGATCTAAAAAATCTGAAAATTTGTGGGTAGCTTCTATATATGTTCTACTATGGTTTAAAAATATGAAACTTGAAATTTGGATGAATTTTTAATGTTCAAAAATTCAGTCAATTAATTAATAAATACAATTTCCATGATTTTTGTAGGCCACTGTATAACTCCAAAAATTATGAAATTTATTTTGGTACACTAATTTATCATGAGGATGCTTGTGTAAATTTTTGAGATCATTTGGAGCAAGTTCATTTTGAGCTTAATTCTAAATTAATTCAAAAATAAATAAAGGTAAACCCTAAGTGTAGGTTTAGGGTTTGATCTTGATTTGGGTCGTGTTTTGTGACCAGTGGGGTGTCAAGATCAATTTAGTTGAGTCACTTAGGTCACAAGCCCTAGGTCAGTAAAGTGTGATTAAGATTTACTTAATGAATGATTTCATCCATTAAGAGTAGGACTAGAAATAAAACCTTAAGGAAGTTCTTTTAGAAGGATGTAGGGTCTCTTAGTAACATGTTGTGTTGTCCTTAATGGTAGAATTGGAAGTGGTTTTGTTGGCTTGCAACTATACCGCGAAGAAAAGTTATACTCAAGGTGTTGTTATATTTCATGTACCATGAAAGCATCATGTTTACATTATCATCATGTTGAAGCATATGTTATTATATCGTGTAGAATCCGAGAGTGAACCGATTCTAGTTGAACAAGTGGTGGGAGAATCCCCGGTTGTCGCGGGATTCGATATTCGTGGTGTTGATCCAAAAACCGAGATCGTCAACGAAGGCAAGCCCCGGTTTATGCATTAAACCATTACCTTGTTTACTTTGAAAAGTTTATCACTTATGTTACTTATCACATTAAGTTGTTTATTCAAATGTTACCTACTTGATGCATTGCCTACCTTATTAATTGTTTACCATCCTTGAAGATGATTTCATTTACAAAGGCGTAGAATTGCTTAGTATGCTTTATGGTAGGCTTTTCAAAGTAAAAGTTTCGATATAATCAAAGATGGCATACTGGCCAAAGAAAGAAAGAAGGAAGGTAGAATGAACTAGAGACTAGTTGGGTGGCTTATCTTGAATGTTGGGTAATGTTGCCGACTATGTCGCTTAAAGGCCACTCATTGTGGATCTTCTGAACGAGACACTTTATAGTACTAGTCACATACTCGGTAAGCCTACTTGGCTAATCCGATACTAAAGAATAATGCCCACGACCGGGAGTGGTGAGATGGCGGGGAGAAGCGTGTACCCTCGTGGCTTGAATGTGGCGGATTTGAGGGTGTCTTTGTGCTCTCGGGTGGCGTGGAGACGGCTTAGTACGGGAGGATCCTAGAGCGAGGTTGATATATGCAAGATTAAGTTCTACATATGTCGTGTGATAAGGAATCCCGGTGGGACTTGAATCAATTGAATTGCCGGTGTTCATGGATATGGAGACTCGATTCATTACGTAGCAATGTAGGACCTGGTGAATTACTAAAACATAAGAAAAGAATGGAATGAGAAGGATTGGAACATGGGATATGAACACTTAGTTGGAGATATTGAACTAAAATACTTAGTGGTAAAACTTGAAACTAGGATCAAGAATAGTAAGCTTTTGGCAAAGAATTTTGAATCTTTCTACATCCTTACCTTGACCCAACACCAAGATCCCTAAGACCTTCGGCCCTTTTTTGGTCGGGTCGGTCTTGTTGAGTACTTTTATACTCGGGGTTTGTTAACCCCCTTGTTGGGGGGAGACGCATGCTTGAGCTTGTTTTGGTCCCTGCTGCATGTCAGTGTATGAAGTCGATGACGATGAGGAATGATGAATGGCCTTTGGACAAGGCACTAGTTTGTGTGAAATAAATAATATTAATGTAATATTATCTCGCTACTATGGTTGTATGACACTTATGGTTATGTAAGTTTAAAACAACTGGTTTTGTAATATTAAACTTAAGTCTTCCGCTTTATTACCTCTGGTATGTATATTGAAAAATGTTATAATCTGCAATGACTGTGATTGGAATCCTGTTTGAAACGTGGATGATTCGGGTTTCCCGAGGATACCCGACAGACCTGTTAAGTTGTTGGGAACTTGTGTATGCTATCTGAGGTCTGTTGAGACATCGATAGGTGCACGTGGGCCCGATTTCTTAGGAGGTTCTGCCACATTTATGAACCCGAAAATATGAGTGAGTGGTAGTCTAGTGGAGCTAATGTCGCTCGTTCACGGTAAAAAAAATCTGACGTGTGGACTGCAGATCAGGCGATGCTCAATTTTATATATTCTTTTGGCCTTGAAAGAATCCAAAAGCAGCCAGTGATATAGGGTGGTGAAATAGGACTTCAAAGGCGTGTTTGGAAGCGTGTTCATGCCCAACCCGGTCGGCTAGCCTGGCTGCGGCCGACCCAAGCCTGATCCCCATGGTGCAACTTCATGTGTTTGGTGTTGTGTTCCAGTAGAGCCGAGCCCACTCCAGATCATGTTTGGTTTCTTGGATAGAGAGGTATGACCACCTTGCTCCTGCAATTTGGTAATGTTACCCCTCAAAACTTCCCTTCCTCTTGTCATTGGCATTTCGTTGAGAACATGGCGGGCAGGAACAAGAACACCGCCCGACGGCGAGGATGAGGCCGATTCCGGCTAGCTGAGTGACGGCCACGGTGGTGCCGCACGTCCATCTAGGGGCCCACGCGCGTCCGTGGAGGGGCGCAGCTCCGCCCGCGATGCTTGGGGGTGCGCGAGGCCACGGCGGCAGACGACGGCGGCTGAGACTGCTCCATCGGTCGGGTTGCAAGTGACGACGCGGCATGGGAAGCGGAGCGGCGAAGGAAGCACGACACAAGGAAGGGATGGCAAGGTTGGCTGGTGTGGATGCGGTGCGAGGAGAGGAACGGCAGCGGCATAAGGGCGTGCTCGGCCAGCGGCCATGGCTGCTGTTCCGCGCGAGGAGCAGAGAGCGAGATGGAGAGAGCGAGAGTGGATTGAGGGAGAGGAAACAGGGCTCGAGCCCACGACCGCGGCTCCTCTACCTCGACGCACAAGTGGAGGCGACTTCTCTACCTCGACATGAGGACGACGATCGCGGCGGCGTGCGCGACGACGAAGAGTGGGAACGAGAGAGCGGCCGCCATCATCCTGCCGCTACTGTCCAAGGCGCGGCCCAAGGCGGTCGCAGCGGCGTTCACGTACGAGGAGGTGGAAGAGCTCACCGCCAGGATCCGGAACGTCGGCACATCAAAACTTTCAATAGAGAATGTTTCGTTTTCATCCCATCTTTATACTTTGATTATGACTAATACCACATTCTGTCATAAATCATAGATTGTCTTAGGTTTTATAAGTATATAGCTTTTGATATGTCTAAATATATGGTAAAAGTTGTATATATATATCTAGAAAAGTCGTAACAACCTATAAATTAGAAAAATGGAGTAATAAATATCTTTTATTTACCTTGAAAAGAGAAAAAAAAAACATTTACACTGTCCCCGGCGTGCACAAACAGTACACCAGTCACACCACGTCACCACCCTCTCCAAATCCGACCGGTCCCCGGAGGCCCGGACGGCTGAGCTCGAGTCCTCGCGCGATGTCGCTGGTGTTGCCGCTAAACCCCGGCCGCCGCCATGCGCCCCTTCCTGACCGCCGCATGGCCGTGCGCTATCCTCCTCATCCTTGCCAGTGCGCTACAGTCGCCGGCGGTGGCGAGCTCCGGTGCCGGCCGTCTGGAGTGGCAGGTCCTGACCAGGGCCAACTTCTCGTCCCAGATCCGGCTCCACCCCCACGTCCTCCTCCTCGCCACGATGCCCTGTGAGCCCTCCTGTCCGTGCCTGCATCTGTTTTCTGATGAGTTCCATAGTCGCTAAGGCCTTGTTGGATACCCTCCTATCTGCCTCAACCCACACGTGTTGGGATGGATTGGGGTGGAACATAAATTTATTTACACCCCAATCCACCTCAACACGCATATGGATTGAGGCGAATACGAGAGTATCCAAACAATGCCTTATGTGGTTCAACTAAACAAACTTATTGTCTTCCAGTGAATCTGTATAGTACAACCCATCGTATCCATAAGATTACCGCAGTCTATCGGAAATGACAATGCAAAACGTGGCAATTCACAGTGACCCTGATGCTTTACAACTGAATTCCCCTAAGCATTTTATGTAGCTGGTCTGTCCCCTTTTGCATTGGAGCTGTGTAATTAAGCTACAATGTTTGCATGGCTGCGAATCAAAATCTAGCGTTTGCTGCATATATCTGGTGTATTTGCCTTATAATGTGCTCTGAGCCTCTGATGCTCCATCATAGAACATGTGGGCACAACATGCCATAACCTGACTGTTATTGTTACTGATGTCAATCTGCAGGGTATGGTGAGTCCAGATCACTGATGGCTGACATAGAACGTTTGGTTGGTTCCAATGAGGAGCTTGGTCGCCTCAAGCTGATGGTTGTATACAGGAATTCTGAAAAGTTGCTGACAGATGCTATTGGTGCTGCTGAAGGAATAAATGTGGTATACTACCAATGTTCCATGCAATTCAAGTATCAAGGGAAGCTTCGCGCACATGATATACTGTCTGCAGTGCGCTATATCATGTCACTTAAGCATGAGGAGGCCCCTTTTGAGGTTTTGCATACACAAGAAGATGTGGAGACTTCCATTGAATCTACCGATAAATCTGTAATCCTTTATGAATCCTGTGGATGGTTCACCAGATTGGCTCATGGCGGGAGCAACCAAAGTTATGAGGCAGCTTCATCAAATAACCACACAGAAAATGGTTTGTCTACTCTTTCCTTCCATATTTTATTCAGCTTTTGAAGCATTATTTTTATGTTTCTTCCGAGAGAGAGAGAGAGATTACACTTTGTTGAAACCTTAATATTTAGCCTGATAGCTATGAGCCTTCGAAAGTAATATTGGCACTCCAGTAACTGTCAGCCAACCTGCCAACCTGCGGCGCAACCGCCCCCCCCCTAATCCATGTACTTTTGTGAGGACCAGGTATTTGTAACAACCCACAGCCGTTGAACTCCCATGAACAGATGCATTTCCTATGCTTGTGCAACGCAAGCTGTCAGTGCTCAGTGCATCCAACACTAGTTGACATCCCCTCATTCACAACGTAATATTTGCAAGCACCAGTTGCCAAATGCCAGTCTGGCCACATGGACACGACTTGTGGATCTCCTCATCCTGGCCTTCTTGGTTTTTCACCAACATGAATATGCTGCTTGCCTTGCTGTCCTCTCTTCTGTCGCTACACTCGTGAGCTGTTACGTGGTTACGCCTCAAGCTAGGCTGCTGCCTATGACAGCAACTCCACAAGGCTCTAGTGTGACCAGTGGCGTAGCTAGGATTTTAGTCTACGGTGGTCCAATTTAATATAAAACTTTTCTTAGCCATCTATTCTCAGTTGGATGCTTTGTTGATTGCGCAGGCAGCTCATCACTGTTTGTTTTAGATTCAGAATTAGTAATAAGAAAGATAGTTTCATGAGAAAACAAAACAACCCACCCAATTACCAGGATATAGTATGCCTTTTGGTTTACCCTTTTCAAATTAATTTCCTCTAGTCTCTGTCCATTTCATGCACTACTGGCTCCCTGATACATCTTACACAAAATCTTTTTAATTAATGATGGTGCTTTTCATCTTCTGATATCAGATTCTATATTCTTTGATGTGCTACAGTTGACATTTCTGGGAAGACAATGACCAGAGAATCAGATGGGCCACTAGAGCTTGTAAGTGTAGTGAAGAAGGTTGCATTTAAATCTGATTAATTAGCTACTGCTATGTTTCTTTGAGAAGAACTATCTGAACTATGAAGATTCAGCAAATATCAGAAGAACAATCCCTGAAAATATACTTATTTGAGATGACAAACAGGTTATAGAGAATGAAGAACAAACCCTTGGAGTTGGGGGTCAGCTTACTGGTTCTCCTTGGAAAGGTGGTTTTGCCTTGGCAAACGAAAGTGTTTCTGAACAAATTGGAAACACAAATGATGGATATAGAAAGTGTACAATGCAAAGGTTCCATCAATTTGAAAGTTTCTATGCAAAGCTTACTGCTATAGCAAGAGAATATTTGCTTCCCCCAGAAATAGCTAAATATGGTCTTATAACCGAAAGATCATTGTTGCCTTCACTGGATGTTGTTAATGAAGGCAACCAGGAGACATGGTTCGTCACCACTCATCATATGGGATGCAAAACTTGTTCAGTTATTGTGAAAGATGGCGATGATCTGAGAAGTCTAGTGCAATCCCACCATAATCTCGGCATTAAGGAGGTAAGTGAATAATGGTTTGGCGCACCTCTAAAATAGAATCAAATACACATTAAATGTTATTCAGTAGTATGAAATTACCATTTATTTCCATCCATTGTTAATGTCTCTGTAAACTATAAGTATGCTTGTAGAATAGATAGTAGAAGAATAAAGTGCAGTGCCAATATCCCTTTTGTTATACTGCTTACAGTTCCTTTGTCTATCCACAACTGTGCAGCCAATTACTTTCTTATTTATTTTTTTAAGCTTGACACTTTCTGTTATTTTAACTTTCGACAAATATTTGCAAAATCTGTACTTCTTTCCTGAAAACTCTCCTAAACTGTGGCTTTTAGGTGAAGAGAATACGTAGTACATACTACATACTTTACACTTGATACTTTACTCAGTTTGTGATTTGTTGATCTTAATGACTTAATATCTTGTTTTATTGGCCAAAGGAATTTTCTTGCAAAATCTATACCTCTTTCTTGAAAACTCTGCTAAACTGTGGCTTTTAGGTGAACTTTACACTTGATACTTTACTGAGTTTGTGATTTGTTGATCTTTATGACTTAATATCTTGTATTATTGGTCAAAGGAATTTTCTTGGATGAATATTTGTATTATGGTATGCCATTTTGTTTTTCATGTGGCCTATGTAGTCTTTTAATTCTTACATGCATCAGCCCATGACTTTTGGGTTTCAATGTTATATGCGTAGGTTAGTGCTGATGAAAGCGGTAGAGAGGCTATCTTCCCCACAAACAGGCCCTCTGTAATTCTATTTATTGATAGATTATCCCACTCTTCAAAAGTCAGAGATGAAAGCAAATTAGTCATCAAGTTACTAAGGCAGTATGTGCAAAATAATTACCCATTTCATGTCAGTAATGGGGCTCTAAGTAGCAGTACCTCCAAAACACGCTCAAAAGCTGTCCCTTCTTTGAGGAATACAGGTATCTCAGATGCCTATTCTCAAACAGCAAGGTTGAGTGTTTGGGCCTCTAAGCTTATGGCACTTGGGGACAAAATGTCAGTTATGGTGGTTAATGATGGAGATAGTATTTCTTACAGAAGTTCTAGCCAAGGTAGTGGTGCTAATCCTTTATACGATGTTCTGACTAAGTTGCTACACAAAGCAAGACCAGGGCATAGGTCAAAGAAAACAAGGATAAGTTTAGTTTCACGAGATGTTGGCCTAAAGATGTTGTCAGATGATTCTGAAATCAAAGTGGTCAAGTCTCTATCAGTTGAAGAGAGTGAATACAAAAGTACTGACGATGCATCTGCCACTACAGATAATTCCAATGATGATATTACTGAAGTTTCTGTGGATGAAACCACAGCAAAAGAGACTGAATATATTGATGATGGACAGGCACCAAGTATACTTGATAAATCTCTGGCAACTTACCCTGATGAACATGATAATGCTCGTGAATCTAATGATACAGAAATGGAGGACCAAAGCAAAAGTGAAGCTTCAGATATGAGTGTTGATCTTAAGGAAGATGTCTCCAATAATGCAGATAGTAGTAGTGAAGTTGGAGGTATGTTGCATAAACACATAGTCGAGAAAACAGTTACAGAAGCTTTTCAAATTTTGGAACATGATGAAAGAAACTTGTACGCTGACCAAGAGGAATCAGTATCATCAAACGAGCAAGTTGATGTATCTTCAGTCCTGAGTAAAAAAATCAGTAAAACTGAAGATGCCATTTATGAAAACACATTCGATCTATCTGAAGGATCAGAAGAAAGTGATACAAGATGTCCCCATCATGCAACATGCAGCTCTTCCCGTGTTCCTGTAAGAGATGACACAGACTTTACTGATCAGGTAACTTCAAGTATATCTGATGACCGTTTTGCTGGTGCTTTCTACTTCTCTGATGGTGGTTACAGACTCCTGAGAACTTTAACTGGTGGATCAAAAATTCCGTCCCTGGTAATAATTGATCCAGTTCAACAAAAACATTATATATTTCCTGAGGAAAGCGAGTATAGCTATGCTTCTTTACAAAATTATCTTGACAGTTTTATGAATCAAAGTCTTTCTTCATATTACCGTGTTACCTCATCAGCTATAAGTTCGAAGGAGCTTCCAAGACCACCTTTTGTTAATCATGATTTCCATGAGGCAAATTCGATCCCACAGTTAACAGCAAGTAGTTTTTGTCCATTAGTCTTTGGACCCAGAGGTTGTGATTCAAAAAGTAAAGCATCATCATTTTCAAACACTGAAAATATTGCATCTGGTTGGAACAAGGATGTAATGGTGCTTTTCAGCAACTCTTGGTGTGGGTTTTGTCAGCGAGCAGAGCTGGTGGTCCGTGAGTTACACTGATCATTTAAGAGCTTTTCGAGCTATTCAGATTCTGTATCTGCAAATGCTCAAGATGTCCACAATGAAGGTAATACCTGAATTACTTATACTGTTAGCTGACTGCTGACATTTTTCTTTTTCTTTAGAAATCATTGAACTTTTCCTGCTGATTTGTTCTTTTTAGTTGGTATCCAGGGTCATGCTTTAAACTGCATTAGATCAGATTTGCATCTAATTCAAGTCATACAATTTTTCTACCCCCCCGGCGATCTATAGTGGTGAACATCATTAAATGTAGCCTTGATTGAGACTTCCCAGATGTCATGAGTGATCCAATGGTTCATGAGTGAAATGCAAGAAATATGTGCAAATTCATTTTCAAAGTTTTCGGTGACAGCAGTTGAACCTTAGTCATGTGTGGCCATAGGCAGTTGGACACTGGCTCCATCTCTTAATGTTCCAATTGTGAAACTGAAAAATGTAAAGAGATATAGTAACAAATAATTTGCATGTTGCAACATTACTGCAGGGCCATCCAAGCATATACATGTCACATCATTGCATCATAAAGCCAACAGAACCTGTCTACTGTACATATTCCATTTAAAGCTCAGAACATTAGCTAAGCATGATTCCTGTGTTCCTTGCATATCAAATATCAATCATTCATTGTGTATTAAAGAATCATCCTTTTGGTTGCAGAGAAAAGTGAAGAATATGTGATGAAGGGCTTTCCTGCGATTTACATGATAGACTGCACGTCAAATGAATGCCACCATTTACTAAAATCTGCAGGCATGGTAGTATTTTTAATTCTATTGAAGTTTGCTCCCTCCTGTAACAGAACAAATTCTGTAGCTATATTCAATTGAGAACTTTCTATATTTGGATATCATTCTTTAACATGAAATGGGTCAGATTAGTAGTCAGTGACCTAGAGAATTAGGCGAACATTGCGTTTGGGAAACTCAAAATCTTTGTTGATAAGCCAGAGTAGTAGCATCCTATGCATGGAATATAAGCAGCATATAAGATATAAATGGTCTCTTGTAATAACTTGTGTCAAAAGGTACTCGTATGAGCAACAGTCAGGCAAGACGTAGCTGTTTATCTAGATAGGTATACCTGCAGAAGACTTTACCATTTGACGTGGAAACAACTATGATGTCTACAATTCAGCCAGTGATGTTCAAATGATGGAGTTTGGACAAAAGCTTATATAGGGCAAATCTAATTGAATACTTGGGAATTTTTACCAGAGAGGGTTAATCTAGCAGTTTACTAACGGTTGAACTCCAACTGGTTCAGAGTTATTCATTCTGGGATTTCAAAGAACAGGGAGGGCAGGGCCGCCCCCTTTGGCCCCAACTAACCGTACTGACATCCAATGACCAGTTTTGTGAAGCTCATAGATTTTTAAAATTCCTTTTGATGTTGCTCAGATATAAGGAATGTTTGTTCTTAAGCCTCCTTAAACAACAATAACAGCAACATAGCCTCCTTAGTTGCCTGAATGTTTTGGTACTAATGCACTTAATAGTACTACTGTATTGCACTTTCTTCTACACAGGAAGAACTTTATCTGACATTATTACTTTTCCCTGCGGAGAACAAAAGTGCAATAGCATATGAAGGGGGAATGTCAGTGCCTCATTTAATCGAATTTTTGGAGTCTCACTTGAGCAATTCTCGCCATCTATTGGAATATAAAGGTTAGTGGACAAACATCTTGTGACTGCATCTGTTCTACTTAAAATATTTGGATTTGCTTATAATTCTGTAATGTGTATTAGCTTACACTTTACAACACTATTGTTTCTTAGAAGTTGTGTTAATCTTCTCATACATGAAAGTTTTAAGTATCTACCTTGCCCATGAGCTGTTCACCTGTCTGGCATACCAGCCTAGTTTACCATTCTTATCTAGACTGGCACCTGCTTGGCTGTGGATTACCTTGTTCTAGAAGTTCCCCAAACCTGAGGTGCCACCACACTAACGAGGATTTGTGCTGTTTGGTTCAGCATATTTGCCCCGTCATCGATTCACAGCTCTAAGAGATCACATTGCTTCACGTTTGGTTGGGCCTAGTATATACTCCCTCTGTCCCTTTTTATCTGTCGTTCTCACTTCTCAAGAAGTCAAGCATACTTAATTTTGACTAAATATATAAAATAAAATATTAATATTTATAGTACATAATTAGTATCATTACAAATGTTGCTAATATTTTCTACAAACTTAGTCAAATTTGAGAAAGTTTGACTGGCACAATTCCCATGGCGACACTTAAATAGGGACGGAGGGATCGGATATGGGATGTGCAACGCCGATGCCACCCACCTCCCAGCGTTATCTGATTATCTCCTGTTCTCTGCTCACAACTTTGTCCTCTCCACTCAGCTCGTGGATCGCCCCTACGCTTCGTGTGCTGCCAGCCTGTTTGTTCCCAGCCAACCTTTTACCTTTGTTGCTAGCCAAACACGATTAAGGAAATGCAAGATGTTAAAAATCGAACCAAACAAATTCCGTTTTGCCTTACACTGTGACGGATTGCACTGCAACCTTATTGCATTAGCAGTACGACTCCCAGGACTAAACCAAACAGCACCATTAGTTGAATAGCTTTGCCCCTAAAGGCTTGTTATTGTGCGTCATCATCTATTTTATTTTGTGCGTAATCATTCATTTTGTTTTCTGAATTCTTGACATTGTTTTCCTAGTATACTTGAAAAATCAATAGTTTTAAAAAATGCCACATGCATACCAACGCCTTAATGAAGATACCTGACCATATTTTTTGTGTGCACTTGTCAGTATTAGTTGGTACATACATGTTCTGAAGCCTATTTTCTTCTTGGTACTCAGGATTTATGTGGAAGAAGAGAATGACAACACAGCATGATGCACCACAGGCAATTCAGTTTCAAGTCAGTGATAAAGGCAGCGGCAATGTTGGTTCTGAGTTATCAAGTCATCCAGATGTCGTTACAGGATCCATCCTTACTGCCACTGAGAAGCTTGGGACCGCAGTTCCATTTGATAACGCCAAAGTGCTCATTGTGTCATCTGATTCTCATGAAGGCTTTCATGGTTTGATCATCAACAAGCGATTAAGCTGGGGTGTCTTCAAGGATCTGGATAGCTCGATGGAGCCTATTAAGCATGCCCCAATTTTCTATGGTGGGCCTGTCGTGGTGCAAGGTTATCACCTTGTGAGCTTGTCAAGAGTAGCCTGGGAGGGGTACATGCAAGTAATACCAGGCGTCTATTACGGGAACATAGTTGCCACAAGCCGGGTAGTCACACGGATCAAGTTGGGTGAGCAATCTGTCGAAGACCTGTGGTTCTTCCTAGGCTACTCGGGGTGGGGATACAGCCAACTTTTTGATGAACTATCTGAAGGAGCATGGCTTGTTAGTGGGAAGCCGATTGAGCATTTGGACTGGCCGAAGAGTTGAAAGGATTCTCTGGACCTCAGCTGTTTCTTTAGGAAAATTTTCAGTTCATCTTGCACATATCTGCCCACACTTCAACGTAACATTGTACTGAGTTTCTTTAGAGACATAGCAGCACTGTGTTTTCATAGCATTTACACACCGTACTATGGTCACACATTTTTTATACATAGTATTTTTTTTAATAATGAAGCCTTCGTTTTCTCTGTTCTTCTCTTTGATTTCATCTTTTGTTTGAGATTTTATCGGAAGTTTTATTTCCTTCACAATCTTGAGACGATTTAAGATGCTACCTTCACAACTCGTACAAATGGCGCACGAGTTAAATTATATATAGTTTCTAAATTTTAGCTTTGTGAGATGGTTACTTCTTGAAACAACTCTCAGCTTTCTACCCCATCTCCATGTCATAAAGAAAGAAATTATTATGTGACATTGCATAAGACACCTATGAGGTTGCTAACATGTTCATTTATGTCCACTTTATTCCCTACCTCCATATACCATAAAAGGATCTTATGTGACAGTGCTGGAGATGACTAAGACTCGATGTTTGGTTTGAGGAACCACTCCATGACTGTAACAGGGTGTTTGATTCAAGGAACCACTCCATTCTATATGAGGTGGTGTATCATGATTCATGAGTTGATTTCTCAAATTTGGTGGAATGGCTCTATTCCTCGTACTATTATCAATTATTGACTTACGAAAAACAAGGTGATGATGCATCATCTTATCCCATTCCAAAAAAAGTAAGGAATAAGTATAGATGATAAATTACCCATTCTTCAAACAAAACACCCTTTGTGGCGCTGTGTCCATCCAATGTGTATTCTGAGTCCTTTTTCTCCAAACCAGTTACAACCCAGCCCATTTCACTAAAGATTAGCCTGTATAACGGTCAGGCTACGGCCCACGGGCCAATTTGAAGAAATCCAACCCGTATCTTTCTCTCTCTTCCACCCCGTCTACCGCTGCTTTCTCTCGCGCGAGGCACGACGCTCATCGATTTCACAAAACCCTAGGCCCCAACTACCACCCAGACATGGCGACGCCGGCGTCGGCCGTCTCCGACGTGGGCGACCCACAGGTCGAAGAACCCTCTCAGGCTAAGGCAGCTGTCGTGGTGGAACCGGCGGCCGCCGCGGCGGAATTGTCAGGGGCATCCAATCCATCTACCGTCGCGGCGGCAGCCCCCGGAGATGCCTTGTCCGGCCCCGCGTCCGCCACCACTTCCGATCCTGCGGCGGCGCCTCCTCCCGCTTCTCCTGCCACGCCCACAGCGCCTCCTCCCGCTTCCCCTGCCCCGCCCGCAGCGCCAGGGCCGCCACGGCCGCAATTTGCAGGCTCTCTATCCTACATGGCGCCAGGGGCACCGTCTCCGTCGCCATCGCAGTCGCCAGCCTTTTCTTATATTGTACTGCCGAGGGCGCCACCAGCGCCGCAAGTTTGTGGCGGTGCAGCTTCACTACAACCATGCTCTTCTCCGGTAGGCATCTTGGCATATTCACTGCTGCAGCTTATACGTTTAAGGTTTTCTTTTTCTCTGTTGAGTTTCTGTGTATGACCACATATTAGTGTTGTAATTTTGTTTAGAATGAGAACGATGTTAGCTATTGCGACTGAACTCTACTGATTAGCTTTTATGATGAGCAGCGGCCTTTGGGCCAGTCACAATAGTTGATCATTTCTGTATGCAATTGCAAACCATGTAAAGTCATAAACCTCTCTTGTGTGTCCTATAGAAACCTTTCTATATTCATGGGAACTCCATGCTCATAAATTCACCCGTGAATTTGCTAGCTGAATTGTAACACAGTATTTTGGTTTCTATATGGAGCTGATGACGTAGTAGTGGACTATTGCCAATGCCTTTTTAGCTTCAAAAAATGAAAAATGGCAGGCTAACCCATGCTTTGGGTTAAGTCATTGCCTATTTAACTATATGTCGCATAGCTCATGCTATTATTTTAGCTTTGTGATTTTCTTGTCATGCTAAAATACTTTATTTTGATCGAATATGATAGATAGTAAGACCAGTTTGTTATTTCTGTTGTATGTGATTAGCTTGAGGAGTCTTTGCACAAGGAATTTTTGAATTCTTCAAATGCGTAGAGAGTAGAAATCTACCCAGACAGTGATAGCTTTGCATTATGTCACGTCTATACATGCTTCATAATCAAAATTGATTAAGGGAAAGCTGATAATGCAACTTACCTTCCACATCTCGCAGCCAATTTGACATTTTTTTTTGCATAGTCTGCAAAATTGTATGTAGAAGAATAAGGCCCTGTTTGGCACATAGTCGTAGTAAATGGGGTCGAGACCCTGTTCTATCCAGTTGGGATTGATGAGGGTCGACGTCAGGATTCACGTAGGGTCACCACACTGTTGGTGCAGGGTCATCACACAGAACAAGAAGAGCAATACAAAGGCCCCGTTTAGATCCAAAATTTTTTGGATTTTGGCTCAATGTAGCATTTCGTTTGTATTTGGTAATTAATGTCTAATTATGGACTAATTAGGTTCAAAAGTTTCGTCTCGCGATTTCTCACCCAACTGTGCAATTAGTTTTTTTTTTCGTCTACATTTAGTACTCCATGCATGTGCCGCAAGATTCGATGTGATGGATACTGCGCAAAATTTTTTGGAATCTAAACAGGCCCAAATCCCATTTTCTCACAAAGTAGATGAAGAAGCTTACACAGATCGAGGGTTTATTTCGAATTTCAATTTTTTACGAGAATCCATGATATCCAGATCAAGCTTCATGTTCTCCAGTGATGGGAGGAGAGGTGAGAATGGTGCTGCAGCGAAGGTTGAATGGGGATTGTGCGGCAGTGGTTTTAGGGGCGACGGAAAGGAATAAACGGGAGTACTTTGTTCTCATGGGCTGTTGTTTGAGGGGCGACGGGAGGTGGAGATGAAGGCAGTGCTACTGTTGAAGGACCCAAGAACAGATAACGATGTTGTTGCCTTGCCTCCGTGTGTGATGCATGCCCTGTATATGGGTTAGGGCAACTAGTGTTGGGCTGGTGGGCCAATATATGGCTGTCCAGCTAATCCTTTCTTTTTTCCTTTTTAAACATGTGATTGATTTACCATTGGTCTGGTTACATATGAACACGTGCTTCAGTATAGCTCTTCATCCCCTGGCCATCAACCCAGATTGCTTGGGGTCATGTACCATGTTAGGAAGTATCATTCAAAGGAGCAGTCTCATCCCTTGATCTGATCGACCCAGAGTTGTGGTGACTATGGTTTCGCATACCTTGCGCAGATTCCGCTTATTGGAGATCCTAGCGAAAAACAAATTCTGCTTATTTAATTCATTTTCAGATCTGCTTATTGATAAGCTGCTGTGGAATCCTGCCATTTGTAAAACAGAGCCTAATACAAAATTAGGATACTGACATCCCAAATTTACTATTCCGTGTGGAAGCACAATATTTATGGTAAAATAGGATGGAATGATGGAAATTACAGACAAGTCAACTTAATCCACAGTGCTCAATTTGGATTATTTACCTAATGTTGGCATTACCACTTATGTATGTCTCATGAGCTTTTTTCCCCTTTCCAGGCTCTTACGGTCGCTCCTATGCCTGCGTCAGCTCTTCAGCCACCAGCCCCAGGGCAATATTTTGGGAACAGACCTTCTTTTTCATATAACGTTGTTTCGCATGCTAATGCTAGATTGCCTACTGGTCAGCAGTTTCAACTTGACACTGTAATTTCTCATGGCTTTATTATCATTACCACTGTTCTATATACATTTTTTAATCTTAAGCTTGTGACCTGATCCTATTATCTGATGCACTAACACTTAATATATTTTTGCTTACACAGGGAGCAAATCTTGCTGGTCAAATTTCTAGATTTGTTCCACCAGGTTCCTTGCAGCCTCCCACCCCTGGGCACATAACTCGCCCTAGTACAGCATTCCCAGGATCTATGGCACCAAATCCTCCTGGATCTATTCAGTTGCCTTTTTCAGTGCCAAGGCCATCCAGTATTCCTTGTGGTGCTAGTGCACAACAGGTGCAGTCACAAGCCTCCCAATTTCCATTAAGCACTATGCACCCTCTTTTTTCTTTGTATGTTTGAATCTTTGGATTGGAGTAAAGCATTGCTAACTTAATGATTTTTATTACATATAGGGCAACTCGGACATTAATAATTTGAAATCAGATGGCCCAAGTGCATCAGAGGTTACCCCCCATGCCATGCAGTTATCTACTGGCATGCCATCAAATTCTCCTTCAACAATTGCAAGTGCTTCCGGAAATCCTTCAATCCCTATTCAAACGCTAACAAATTCGTCAGTGCCACCTCGCCCTGAGGTATTTGGAGCCAGACCATCTGTCCCTGGACAACCTTCTGCAATCGTCTCTAATCCAACAAGTCTCCTTGGGAGGCCTATAGTTCCATCTGCCGCTCCTTTGCCCCAAACAACGCCACCAATTGCAACCCAAGGTGTTACTCCACAGAATTCTCAACCACCATTTTATTCATCCTATCCTTCAGGACCTGCTATTGTCCCACCTCAACCTTTATGGCCACATCCTCATCCTCCACAGCCTACTGGATTTCAGCAACCTCCCTTCCAGTCCTATCCAGCTGCTCCTGTAGGGTCTCTTGGCAGGCCAATAGTTGGGGTTTCTGCTGTGAATGCGGCCTTTGCCAATGTGCAACCACCTGGTGTGTCAACTGGTGGGGATCGGAAAATACAAGCATCAACAAATCCAGGATCTGAACAGTCCACTCATGCTTCAACTGAGCCAGATTCTACAGGCAACGTTTTCACTGGATTTGATATTTGGTCTTGTTTTTTTATTTTAACTATTATATTGATAATGTTTAATGCTGCAGGACATGGAGGTCAAGTCAATGAACGGCTTGAGGACAATAGAAATACTGGAGTTCAGGATTCAGATGCATGGTCTGCTCACAAAACTGAAACTGGTGTTGTATATTATTACAATGCTTTGACAGGAGAATCGACTTACCAGAAACCAACTGGTTTTAAGGGGGAGGTAGTTGCACAGAGGGATAGCTTTATCAAGTAATATGACTTCATTCTAGTTTGAGGACATGACAATTTACTATCACGATTGAACTAATCTTTTTTTTTATGTTTTTGCTGCAGCTGGAGAAGGTTGCAACACAACCAGTTCCAGTTTCTTGGTATGTCTGAAAGTCCCATGTTTATACCGAACTATGTTTGTCTGATTTGCAAGTATTTTCTTGAAGTTAATTTGTCCCACTTTATTCTCTATGGAGTTCTCAAAGGCACACACAATCATGAATGATGCCATGATTTCTGAATTCTGATTGCCTCTGCGTTAACTGAAAAGTTATAAAGACATCTGTTTACATGAATAGGAAGTCTCTAAAGCAATGATTCATTTTAGACTAACAGTTTGCCAGCTATGGATTATGATAGGAACCTGATCACTATTCTAAAATGAGGGCTGTTGGAGCCTCAGAATTCTTATACCTTGCCATGCTGCTTAGCCACATTGTTTTTGTTGTGCTTTAAATTGGTGTTATGAAGACCTGACTTTTGCTGAGTTACCTGAACCCTTTGGTCTTTTTTAATTTGAACATGCTGCTAACATTTAGTTCTGTATTCCACTACTTTGCATGTTTAATACTCCCTCCGTTCCAAATTATAAGTCGCAAAATGGATAAACCAAAAAAGTCAAAAGGGCGTACCCAGTGCAAAGAGCTCCCGCTCTGTGCGGGGTCTGGGGAAGGGTGCCAGTGGCAAGCCTTACCCTCGCCTGTGCAATGCAAGGAGACCGCGACTCAAACCCGGGACCTTCCGGTCCCCAGACCCCGCACAGAGCGGGAGCTCTCTGCACTGGGTACGCCCTTTTGACTTTTTTAGTTTATCCATTTTGCTATGTATCTAGACTTATTATTTATCTAGATACATAGAAAAATGGATGTACCAAAAAAGTCAAAGCGACTTATAATTTGGAACGGAGGAAGTAGTCTTTTTAGTTAGACATGAAGAAAACTCTAGGCACAGAAAGATCCAGTTTGCTTATCAATGGTGCAGTCATAATGGTGATCTTAAATGCTATTGTATGATAGATCGTTTAGCAATTTTTATTGCAAAATTACTAGCTAAAAGTATGCACGAGATCAATGTTTTTGAGGCGCCGCGCCCAACCCCCTTCACAACGCCTAGGCGTTTGTGGCGGACGCCTAGGCGACGCCATACACATATTGTATACCTCGTTTGTTGCCAATTCTTGAGCCCATGTTCCTTAGGAAAAGATCAAATTTGCACAGCTAAGGGAGCACTACTAATCAGTAACATACTAATCAAAGCAAGTGTATACTAATCAAAGAAAGACCTGTTGCTGTAGCAACTGTAAACTAATCAAAGCAAGTGTATACTAATCAAATCCATGTTGCTGTAGCAGTGTATGTGGCAGTCCAAGCACAAGCAGACATTAGTATATGTGAGTAACACTAAAGAAAGACGCCTCAGTAATATAAAAGCAGAGCACGAGCAAGGCGCACGCAGCATGAGCAAAAGCAGAGCACGAGGCATTAAATACTACAATACTCAGAGCAGAGACGGGATACCAGGCACCAGGCAGGGTCATAACAGGCGGAGGGAACAGAGAGGAGGCAGGGGCATACCAGGCGGAACAGAGAGGAACAGAGAGAAGGCAGGGGCATACTAGGCTGACGGCAGACGGCCGGCGGAGGTGAAGACACGAGATGAACGGGCAGCTGTGGACAGGCGGACGGCCGATGGAGGCAGACAGTCACGGCGGACGCGCAAATGCGGATGGCCGATGCCTGCAGCGGCGGAGATGCTGGAGCGGCTCCACGGCAGGTGCGGACGACCAAGCAGAGATGCAGGGGCGGCTCCTCGGAAGGGGCGGCTGGCCGGTGGACTCGAGTTGTCGAGCAGCGGAGCAGCAAAGCGGAGCTCAAGGTCCGCCCGCCGCCTTCTCTCTCTCCCCTCGCCCGCACTCGCGGTAAATGCCTCGCGTGGTAGATTTCTTGCGCGAAGAGCTTATCTAGGTCACAGTTCCCGCGCCAGGGGCGGACGCGCGGTCGATTTTCCGCGGGCCGCGGTCATTTTCGCACCCTTCCCCTGCGGCGCGGAAGCGCGGTCGATTTCCCGCAGACGCGCGGTCGATTTTGCGCCCTTCCCTCGCTAATTAGCATCTGGCGTCCATGGCGGGGCTGTAGGCGTCCGTCCGACGCCTTTCTACGCCTAGACGACGCCAAATTCGATTAAGCGGACGCCATACGAGTGTAGATCGTGGCGCCCTCGACGCCCAAAGCCTCTGCCACGCCTTGTCGCCTAGGCGACGCCTCAAAAACAATGCACGAGATTCAGTATCCTTTTTTAATTGCTCTTTTTATCTAATGAATGCATCCTGGCTTGTCATCTATATTCGTTTATGTTCACGAATATAATGCGACATGGAATCTGAATTTAATCTGAATCTCTGCTAGGGACAAATTGGCTGGTACTGACTGGAGCATAGTAACTACAAGTGATGGAAAGAAATATTATTATGATAACAAACAAAAGGTAAGATCTAGACCATGGCTTAATAGCTCAGCAACATCCAACATATAATAATGGGGTTGCGTTGGTCTTTTGGTATCTCATGAGTTTATGTATGTCTTATTGCTGTACTCTGACTTGCTTATAGGTTAGCAGCTGGCAACTTCCGCCAGAGGTGTGTGAGATCCTCAAGAATGCGGAATCTGGTTCCTTAAAAGAAGGTTCAACTTCAGTGCAGGATGCTGCTACTATAGAGAATAAGGGAGTAATAAGCATTGATGCAAGTACTCCTGCCATACAGACAGGTGGCCGTGATTCGTTGCCACTTCGGCAAACAGTTGCCCCTGCATCGCCATCTGCATTGGATTTAATAAAGAAGAAATTGCAGGATGCTGGTGCTTCCAGTGCGCCTTCAGCTCTGGCTACATCTGCTGCTTCTGAATTGAATGGATCCAGACCAGCTGATGCTGCACTTAAGGGGCAGCAAGTGGCGAATAATGGTGAGAAATCAAAAGATAACAATGGTGATGTGAATATGTCTGATTCGTCTTCAGATTCAGATGATGAGGAACATGGACCAAGTAAAGAGGACTGCATTCGTCAGTTTAAGGTGGTTTTTGTGACATTTCTCTGGATCTTAGTGTAGATACGGTTCATTGCTTCTCAATGGGTTCTTTTGCTATGCTGCCCCATACCTTCTGTTATCTATTTTCTTTTCTTGAATAGAGATGATCATTCAAATAGTGAACTTGATGTTTTCTCATTTTGTTGGGTCTGGTACCATAGACTTGTGTCTTTTCTGAGATAATATTGTACTATTTGTATATTTCTAGTTGGAGAGTTGAAATAGCTAATGAAACTGTATAGTTACTTCTTCATTTTTTTATCACCGTAGATGAATATACCATGACATGCATGTGTGTTAAATTTCACAGGAGATGCTAAAGGAACGAGGAGTTGCGCCATTTTCGAAGTGGGAGAAGGAACTTCCAAAAATAGTGTTCGACCCACGCTTTAAGGTTTGCTAAAGTTTGTATTTTAATCTTGCCTGCGAATCTCCTGCTGCTGTCTGACTTGATTAGCACTTAAATTAGATGCATCTTCCCCTATGAAGAAACTTACATAATGAAAACTGAGTGCTGCAGTTGCTTTTTTGAAGGAAGTTGTTTATGGATTTCTGTAGTATTAGTTTATGGATTTCTACTCCTTTTGAAGTAGTGGTGAAATTGTTGTTCACAGAAGCAATAGGTAATTGTTTGGTTAAAACTTTAAACAATGTACTGAATTCTGCATAACTGAATGTTATTTTTGGGAAAGCACAACTATGCTCCTATGTGTTGATCTTCTTTTAATTGAGTCTAGAACTTCTGCAAATTGTCTTCTTTTTGTGCTAAACTGAGGCTCAATTTTAGTACATCAAATGTATAACAAGAATAATTGAGCAATTAAGAGATAAATTATACTGAAGAACTAATGATTTTAAGTATTCTTTTGTGCATTCAAATCATAGTATGTATTTTTTTTTGAAAAATAAAGCATAGTACGATTTCATTCTTACAAAGCGGTAATTTTCTCTATAAGAAACAGCTGTGACTACTGATTAACTCCAAAAGATATTTTGTTCCTTTTATAGGCTATTCCTAGTCACTCAACAAGGCGGGCTATATTTGACCACTATGTTCGCACACGTGCTGAAGAGGAGCGGAAAGAGAAAAGAGCTGCCCTGAAGGCTGCAGTAGAGGCGTATAAAGAATTGCTTGAAGAAGCATCTGAGGTCTGTTATTGATACTTTGATTTTTTTTTTCCTGTAAACTAACTTGGCCATGTAATGATGGTGAAATGGCTTGCCTATAAATGTTACAAGATTATTGGATTCATAAGTGATAAAGTGTCATGCCATCTTAATATATGTTGCAGGTCATCAACCAGAAAACAGACTACCAGGAATTCAAAAGAAAATGGGGTGCTGATCCAAGGTTTGAAGCCTTGGATCGAAAGGAAAGGGAGGTGCTCTTCAATGAGAAGTATGGCCAACCACTTTCCTGAACAAATGATTTTGAATTTCTTCTTTGAAATCAAATTGATGAACCATGTGTAAACATAATGCACTGTCAACTTTTGAGCAGGGTGAAGGCTGTTCAAGAAAAAGTCCAATCAATGCGCAAAGCTGTCATTGCTGATTTCAAATCAATGCTTCGAGAAAGTAAAGATATAACTTCAACTTGCCGATGGGCAAAAGTAAGTATTTTGTCTCATTTCACTGAACATAGCTACTGCAATAACAAAGTCTTTAGTACCAAAGAAGTTGGGGTAGGCTAGAGCCTAGAGATGAAACTCAACAAGAACCATGTTGCAAAAAACTGTAGTATTAAACTAATCACAGTAATTTAATACTATTTATGTATAATATAGAAGTAAATAAATCGAAGTCTAGCTTATGGTTCTGGCATGTGGATTGTTAATTTCCACATACATACTACTATCCAAACTCCAAAGATAATTCTTTGTATACATTGCACTCCTTGCTCTTAGGATTGCATCCTAAATTTATTCATGTAATTTCGATGCAACCAATCCATCTGACCCATCACATATTGACACTAGCAGATTATAATCTTATAGCTGTGTGATTCCATTGATGCACGTATCAGCTTTCGGTTCTTTTATCTTCTATTCCTGTTAGCAGGGATTAACACATAATCTTTTGAGATCCAAGTTAAGTCCTGAACTTGACATTTGTGTGCATAACTTGAAAATTAACTGAATTCTTCTTAGACTGACGTACCAAGTCAACAGCTGCCTTTAACCTAGGGAGGTGTTCTGTCCAGTAACTAGCATACACTGATCTACTGGTGACTGTTAGTATATCTGTTCTCAAGGTCCTGTTATCAATCTATCATCTGAATAACTTCACTAAAGTATGATCGCCTGTTTTGGTATGATAGTTTTGTCTGAGTTACATGTGGTCTGATCTTGTCATCCTGAATTCCTGATGTTCACATTTATGAATGCTCTTTATATCAGTAAGTTTTACAGTCATGGGCCAGTCGTGGCCCTGAAACAGCTCCTCCCATTTAGCATGTCATAAATAAATCTATAACTTGTAGTTATTTGCAACATCTAGTTAAATGCCTTTTTTTAAAGGGAATCACTAATAGTAATAATAATGTACCGATATTGTTCGATGTAAGTTTTGAGTTGTTTTTCTGTTCATGAATCAATGTTCATGTTCATACTCCGAATCATGTAGGTGAAAGAAAATTTCCGCAGCGATCCAAGGTACAAAGCCATGAAGCATGAAGAAAGGGAGACTATATTTAATGGATACATAGTGGAACTGAAATCTGCTGAACAGGAAGCAGAACAAGCTGCCAAGGCCAAAGTGGATGAGCAAGTTGGTCAACTTAACTGATAAACTTTATTCCTTTATTTACTATGTATGGATATAGATTTACATGTACTTTGGTATATATCCAGGCCAAGTTAAAGGAGAGGGAACGTGAAACACGTAAAAGGAAAGAAAGAGAAGAACAGGAAATGGAAAGAGTAAAAATGAAGATCCGTAGAAAAGAGTCTGTGTCATCGTACCAAGCTTTACTTGTTGAAATGATAAAGGATCCCAAGGTGATTTGAGTTGCATGTTAAATTCTTTAACTGAGCATTCTTCAAATTCTCAGTATCTGTTAATGAAGCACTTATTGACTGTCTTTCATTGTTCGACAAAAGATTGTCATTCCATTTATAGTTCCCTCCATTGGTGAGTTTCTTTGCTATGACTGGCTTCAGTTGGCCAGTTGCTACTAGATGAACGAGTGTCATTTCATAATATAGGAGATATTTGCCTAGTGTTGTGTCCAATCGAAAGCAAATTTCGATGTGACTAGCCAGTTGGAATTGGCATTGGAAAGAAAGAAAAGCTACGAGAGTTGTATGGAGATAGAGAAAGAGAGATTGGTTGCCAACCATAAAGCCCTACCTTTTCCTGAGACCTATGAATCCATGGTTCTGCTTGAAAGGAATAATAATATGAACAGGCGTTAGCTGGTTTCTGGTGGTGTGTTTGTTTTTGGAAATCTGAATGCTGGATCTCTCCCAAAATCATCACATGTTACTGGTGAGAACTATGTAGTATGCTGCTGTAGCTAGGATGGGTCGTCACTTCTCTGGTCTTGTTTGCTTGCATTAATTTTTGAACCTAGTTTATTCTTTTTTTCCTGGCTTTAACTGACATTGTTTTGCTGTACCTGCTATATTTAACTTCACATTGGCAAGTTGGTAATTATGCATTGTACAATTTAACAATTTACATTTTTTTCTGTAGGCATCATGGACCGAATCCAAACCGAAACTTGAAAAAGATCCGCAAGGTCGTGCTCGAAATCCTGACTTAGGCCAAGGTGATGCAGAAAAGTTGTTTCGTGACCATGTCAAGGACCTATATGAGGTAAACCCAAATGTTATAAATGCCTGTAGCTACTGAACTAAGAATTTGAAATTACTCTCGTACCGTGGCTGTTTGTTCACTGAGGTTTGCTTTGTCATTGAGATTTTGCTTTGTGGTTTCTGTTCTGTTCCAACCGATTCCTTTAGGCACTAAATTGTTTTTTGTTATGCACACATTTTAGCTGTTAAAGCCTTGTGGTCTTGTGGACACAGCCACTGCCTGGGCACTAGGCACACAACCTGTGTATCAGCAAAAACAACCGGCTACTTTTGTCAATAAATCAGCTAAAGGCAAATATTCAACAAATATTCAAATTTACGGTGACTTTTGTGTTGCTATTGGCACATACTCAATAGGCAGTACGCATGAATTTGATTGCATGTTTTTGTTTGACATTGTAGCCTTGAATGCTTGAGTAGTCTTGGTACTTATAAATAACTCATTAAGCAGCTGCTGTAGGATCTTCATTGTAATGCATTTCACAATTCTTCCTGGATGCTTACCATTTTGACCCTTTGACTTCCCTCAGCGGTGTGTACGTGATTTCCGGGCACTTCTATCTGAGGTTATCACTCCAGAGGTAGCAGCTCGGACAACAGATGAGGGGAGGACGGCAATCAACTCTTGGAGTGAAGCAAAAGGTCTTCTAAGATCTGATGTAAGGTACAACAAGCTGGCGAGTAAAGACAGGGAGTCTATTTGGCGGCGCTATGCTGATGACTTGACGAGGAAACTCAGGCAATCAGACACGAAGGAGAAGGACAAGTCCCATACAGATGGGAAACAACCTTGGTCCTCTGATCCGCCTAGGCGGAGGTAGCTTGTAGTTGTAGTAACAGCCGCTTGTACTTCCTAGTTGCTACTCCTATATTTCTTACCGTTGATAGTTAAGGGCCTGCTTACACTCATCTGCAACATTGAATAGTCACTGACTCACTGCCACTTTCGATACTGAGAGTTTCCATGTTATAGGTTTTGCCTTGCAAATCTATTTCCCGTTCTGGAGCAGATCATATATTGTTGCAATATGAGTTGACCTTGCACTTGACGAGTTACATTTTTTTCTCCCACGCCGTTGCCAGCTTCTGGACCCTGGGTATCTTGTTATGGGATCTATGTTTTTCTGTATTCAGGTTGCGATCTACTTGCAGCGTTCTCTTGTAACACGTTTGACTGTGGAACATCTCAACATTTCGACTGAAGAAACAAATTATGTCTAGTGCAGTACCGGACCAAGTTGCGTCTCCCAGGCGCCAGGCCTCAGCCTATCATCTCTCTTTCAAACTTCAAACCCAAAAACTTTATTAAAACAAAAAACAAAATCAAATCGTCATATGCAGTTTGAAACAAAGATTTGTCAACTTCTACTCAAAAAAGTTTGGTGGAACTCTGGGCAGCTTCGGCACCCGTTCCTTATCGCTTTTCTTTCTCCTCAATAAACTAGGAGATGGTGAAACCACTAATTTTTGCTTCACCATCTCTAGCTTCTATAAATGCTGTAACAAAGAGCAAGAGTCATCTGGAGCCAAGTTAAATAGGGCTCTAAGGTTTATATGAAAAATAAATTTCTTTCCTCTTAATGAAATAAGCGTGATCCAAGCGTGTTTGTGATTTTTTTTTAAAATTTATAATATGATTTCTGCGAAATTTCTGCTTTATGATACTACTATTCGATCATGGACGACAACAGCTTTCCCTTCTCTCGCTTTCCGTTACAAACCCTAACGCTACACTGATACAGTATTACAGTGTGAGTGAGAAAGGAAAGAAGAAAAGGAAGTAGGCCCTTAAGGCCCAAACCCTGCCAAACCCCGTATCACCGTAGTCCCCGGTTCCCCACCATGACGTCCCTCCTCCGCCGCCGCCGCCACGCTGCGCACCCACGCGCCGCCGCCGCGGCCTGCGCTCCCCTCCTCCGCGCCTTCTCCGCGCTCCCCGACGTCGATCCCTCGGCGTCCTCCACCGCAACCCCTACCCCGGCCGCGCCCACCTCCACCTCCGCCCGCGCCCCCGTGCTCGACCTCCAGCTCGCCGTGCGCGCCGAGTCTGACCCAGCCCGCATCCACTCCCTCGTCGCCTCCGCGCTCTCCAGCGATGACTTCCCGCGCCTCCACACCTCGCGCCAGCTCTTTTCGCTGGCCACCTCCCGCCTGACCCGCCTCCGCCGCCCCGACCTCGCCGCCTCGCTCCTCGACCTCCTCCTTGCCTCCGCCCCGCCCTCCCCGGGCCTCCTTGCGCGGGCGCTCTCCCTCTACCCGGGACCCGACGACGCGCTCCGGGCCTTCTCCTCGTCTCCCCCCGCCGCCCGCTCCGACGTCTCCCTCTCGGCGCTCCTTTCGGCGTTCCTCCGCGCCGGCCGCCTCGATGACATCAAGTCCACCATTTCCCTGGCGGAGTCCTCGCACGGAATCGCGCCCGGCCGCGCCTCCCACAATGTGCTCCTCCACGCGATGGTCAAGAACTCTGAGCTAGCTGCTGCCCGGAAGCTGCTCGACGAAATGGCCAACAAGAAGTTGAAGCACCGCCCTGCGCCAGACATCATATCCTACAACACTGTCCTCGCCGGTTACTCCGTGCAGGACGATGAGGAGGGGTTTGAGAAGCTTTTGAAGGAGATCAGCTTGAACAACTTGGAGCCAAATGTTGTCACCTACAACTGCCGGATACAGTGGTTCTCCAAGAAAGGCGAGACAGTCAAGGGGGAGGAGCTGCTTGATGTGATGGAATCAAAGGGGGTAGCGCCAAATTACCTTACCTACAATGCTCTCGTGCAGGGGTACTGCAAGGAGGGTAATATTGGGGCAGCGATGCGTGTGTTCAAGAGGATGAAGGTGATGAAGAGGCGGGAGGGAAGAAGTGACTTGGGTGTTTCCGCGCATTCGCAGGTATATGTGGTGCTGTTTAGGAGTTTGGTGGAGAAAGAGAAGCTTGATGACGCGTTGTGGATTTGTAAGAGCTGCTTTGCAATGAAGGCAGCACCACCGTTTGAGGCTGTTAAGGGTTTGGTCGAGGGTTTGGTGAAGGCAAGCAGGTCAACAGAGGCCAAGGATGTTGTTGCCAAGATGGAGTTTCTTGTGAAAGGTGATGCTAAACTTGCTTGGGGGAAGGTTGTTGGTGAACTCTCTTTCGAAGAGGGACCGTCAAATTCGAATCCATGATTTGCTAGAGGCATCTGCGTTACTTCTGATTGATTCATGCATTTTGGACTTTGAATGATGATGGCGAAGAAGATAGGCTTTCAACGTGGGATCCAATGTTGCCTTCTTGTTGTCGCTGGACTGTATTTCGCAAGGTCCGTGGTTAGATCAGGATGTAATGGATGCCCCCTTTACCGTAAGAACTTGCTCAATTTTGTGTCTTTCAATAATACTTGAAATGATGTTAAAGTTTAACATTTGTCAAAGTGCTTAGGAGATCATGATAGATGATACATCTACTATCTATCATTGTAACATGTTTTTGTTGTAATGTGTGTTTGATGCCACATCACATAATTACTCTGCTTTTCCTTTGAGAATATGATAGTTGCATTGTAATTAGTGCACTCATGCATACAATCAGTATTGAAGTAATCCTGCAATCAGTGCATAGTACAGTGGAACAACAGGCTGTATAGTGCCTTATTTCTACAATGTCTAGGAAGCAAACTCAAGTACCTTACACTGTTTGATAGAGAAACACATAAATACAGTAAAATGCTAGCGATGTACTATGTGGTGCACAGCTGCCACCAAGACATCTATGCTCTTTATGCGATGTTTCTGTGTATATATAATTAATCTTCATGCTTGCCATGTAAATCTTCCCACCATTATATTAGCTTGTGAAGGTTTTCTTAACACCTCGGACTAGCAGTCCTTCAAAGGTGATGCCTGGGCCAAAAGCCAAGATCAATCCCCACTCTTCACTTATTGCCCCTTTCTTTAACTCGTCCCTCAAGTACTCCAGCACATAGAAGATTGTATTGCTGCTCACGTTTCCATAGTTCTTCAAGGCTTTTCTGCTAATCTTGAGCTTCTCTGGCTGAAGTTCAAGGCAGAACTCAAGCCTGTTCAATATTGCTGGTCCACCAGGATGCACAGCCCAAAATACATCATTGAAATCCTTTATCCCTACCTGGTTCATGAGAGTCCTGCAGAAACCTTCTACGTGGCTTTCAATCTTCTCAGGCAAATCACGCCCTAGTTTAAAATTAATTCCTTCCTCTGCGATCTTGCCATCAATTACCTTATCAGTCCCAGGTAGGAACTCCTGCGTGGAGAACTCAAGCTCTAAGAAAGGATCTTCTGCTGGTGCCATGGGGCCTGCTCCTATAATCACAGCTGAGGCACCATCACCAAACAGGGCAGCACCAACAAGGTCATAAGGACGGTCATAACTTGGTGGCCGGAAGCCTAGCCCAGTGGTCTCAGCAGCTGTTATTAGGACATGGCTCCCTGGGTTGTTCTCAGCAATGTCCTTGGCAGTGCGGAGGGCAGCAGCACCACCGGAGCAACCAAGGCGACCACCGGAGCAACCAAGGAAGAGAAGGGAAGTGCGCACGGTGTTTGGACTAAGGCCAAGGCGTGCAGCCAGGTGAAGGTCGCCCCCTGGGAGACGAAGCTCACTGTTGTAGATGAGGTGGGTAATATCAGCTGCAGGGCGGCCCCAGTCGTCAAGGGCAGCACGAGCTGCGGCAGCACCAAGGTCGATCACCGCGGCATTGCAGATGTCAAGGCGCGGTGTCAGTGTTGGAGTCCCCTCCATCTTCAGCTCTGGGTGCTTGTCCAGTAGCTCCTTGGACATAACAGTGTACCTTGTCCTCACTGTAGTGGTCGTGCCTGGAAAAGAAAATCATTTGGGCAATACTCATCTGTTTATCGGAGGTAAATCAAATCATCACATAAATACTGAAGGCTATATATATGGTGATCTTATACTCATAATTCTTATTCAGTGAGCCAGGCAGCCCTAAACAGGATGCAAAAAGTGAACTAAATCAGCATCATATGGATTTTCTTAGAGCAACAGTTCACTGAATTTGTGTGCCCGTGTTTTTTTTTCTTTTATAAGGAATTGTGTTGTATTTTTTTTCTTTGTGCTAGTTCCATTTTCCACTTTCCAATAGACAATTATATATGATCAGGTAATAATATTAAAACATCATGATCCTGTGACAACTGAACGTTGTTGTTTAGACCATAGATCTTTATGACGAGAGCTAATCTGCATTTGTCGACTTAAAATTCTAAACGTGAAGATAAAATGAATTTACAAAACAGCAAGTGTGATGAAATAACGAAGCAAGTTTACAAAGGCGCTCAAGTTTGGCCCTGGTGGCGGGATCGTCGCAGCTGCTGTCTTGGAGGTAGCTCTCCACAACCTTCTCCTGAGGCAGAACTTGGTCAGGGAAGCCCTTGCCCAAGGCGAGCAGCATCGCCTTTAATGGAGACGGGGATCCCGATCTTTCGTCAGGTGGTGGTAACTATCGTTGTGGCGGAGAATGACACACCGATTCGATTTCAGATCGAAAGATCGAACCCTGCAATCTTAGCACCACAGCTTCTCTGGTTATCAACCGAGTCACGGACCAGGTTGATCTCGCCAAGAAGGCTAATCCCTGCCTGCGCAACGAAGAACACAAGCAAGAACAAGAAAGAATATAACCAAACTGCAGATGAATGTTTAATCTCTCAACGTTGGGGTCTCACAAACCGATGAACGGCGAAACTGTTCTTGACAAAATAATCTAATCAAAACCCAAAACCTAATGACGACGGCGGCATATGATTATAAAGGTCTTAGGGTCGTCGCCTACTCTGGACGTGCCCCCTAATGGGT